ATCTTTTATATTAATGGGTGATTGGAATGGAGTAATTGATACGCAGAAAGATAAAAAAAAGCTTATCAAAGACTTCAGCACGTGCAAAACTACCTAAATCTTTTTTTTTATATGATGGAAGATATAGAACAGAGAGCTATCTGGAGAGAACGTAACCTGGAGGAAAAAGATTTTACTTTTTTTTCTGATAGACACCAATCCTTCTCCAGGATTGATTTTATACTAATCACAAATGATTTTATTTCCAGGGTCAAGAAGACGAAGATATATCCAAGAACTTTAACTGATCATAGTCCGGTTTGGATTGAATTTGAACAGGAGAGGGGAGAAAGGAGGTCTTGGAGGTTGAATGAAAACTTATTTAGATATGAAGAAAATGTAAAGGAGCTTAAAAAACAAATGAGAGAATGTTTTGTTATTAACATGAACAAGGGTACTCCTATGGAAATGGTCTGGGATGCTAGTAAGGCCTATATGAGGGGTATCCTAATACATATGAATAATAAATATAGACTAAAACAACAAAAGAAGCGTAAAGAGTTAGAGGAAGAAATAAAAAAGAAAGAACAATTACTTATATCTAATCCAGGAGATAAGAAAGTAAAAGAAACAATAAATATACTACAAGGGCAATTTAATATGATCAGGTGGCAACTAGTTTACAATATGCTAAACATAATACATTTTGTAATTCCAATAAACCAGGTAGGTGGTTGGCCTACATGTTGAGGAAAAAACAGAAAGCACGAGTCATTAGTAAGATAGAATATAGAGGTAAGGAAGTTTACCAACAGAATATGATTAAAAAGGCTTTTCTGGAATTTTATACAAAGTTATATGCTAGTGACTCAATACAAGGTATAGATATAGACAGATATTTAAAGGAAGGGAATATTTTGGAATTAATGTTGGAACAGAAGGAAGGATTGAATCAACCAATAACTTCTGAGGAGATTGTTGCGGCAATTAAGCAGTTAAAAATAGGGAAAGCTCCAGGAACAGATGGACTAACAGCTGTTTATTATAAGAATTTACAGCTTGAAATGGTAGAGCCGCTTAGAACTCTATTTTGTAAAATTCAATCAGAGGGAGGAGTTCCACCCTCTTGGAGAACAGCTTTTGTTTCATTGATTCCGAAGGAAGATCAAAACTATCAAACCTGAAAATTTTAGGCCAATTTCACTTTTGAACACGGATTATAAAATTTTTGCTAAAATACTAGCAAATAGATTAATGCCAGTTATGCAACAAGTTATTCACAATGACCAATCAGGTTTTATAAAAGGGAGACAGATGAAATATAATGTTAGGCAAATTATAAACTTATTGGAATATTTGGAGAAAAATAATCAGGTCCCTGCAGCGTTTATATTCGTGGATGTAGAGAAAGCATTTGATCAATTGAACTGGCAATTTCTGTTTAAAATAATAGAAAAAATGCACTTTGGGGAGTATTTCATACATTCAATTAGAGCAATATATCAGGAACAAACAGCACAAATAATAATTAATGGAGGTTTAACAGATGTGTTTAAAATTGAGAAAGGTACGAGGCAGGGCTGTCCCTTGTCGCCATTGTTGTTTATTTTAACTTTAGAAGTTTTGTTGAATAAGCTACGTGATTCTGGCAAAATAAAAGGAATTGTAATTAGACAGCAGGATTAGAGCGTTTGCAGACGACCTGGTTCTTACTTTATCTCAACCTATAGAAGCGGCTCCCTATATGTTGGATATAGTAGCTCAATATGGTAAAGTATCTGGATTTAAAGTAAATCTACACAAGACAAAGATGATAACTAAAAATTTATCTATAACTCAAAGAGAAGAGTTAGGGAGGATAACGGGGTTTGAAGTAGTTAAAAAGGTTAATTATTTAGGAGTATATATTGCAGCCTCAAATACGAAATTGTATAAAAATAATTATGAAATTCTTTGGCAAAAAGTACAGAAAGAAATGGAAAAATGGAAAAAGTTACAACTAAAACTACTGGGAAGGATAGCAGCAATAAAAATGAATGTACTACCTAGGTTTTTATTTTTGTTCCAAATGATACCAGTGCTTAAAAAAGATGGAAATCTGATGGAATGGCAGAAAGGGGTTAATACTTTTATTTGGGCTGGGAAGAAACCAAGAGTGAAACTGAAAATTATACAGGATATACGTGAGAGAGGAGGTCTTAAAATGCCTAATTTAAGATTGTATTATGAAGCAGCAGCTTTATCACAAATTAGTGATTGGTTTAACCTAACTGAAGAAAGAATGTTAAACATAGAAGGTTATGATTTGTTATATGGATGGCATGCTTATTTGTTGTATGAAAAAAAAGTGGATAAAGTGTTTAAGGGTCATATACTCAGAAATGCATTGTTGAGGGTTTGGAAAAAGTACCAATATAAGCTGAACTATACCTATATGGGCAAATCCCAGACATGCAATAGAAAATATAAGTATAGAGTAAAAAATAGAGGTGATTACCTATAAAGAGCTTCTTCTTTTGGAAAGGGGTAAGTTGCAACTGAAATCTCTAGATGAATTAAAAGAAGAAGGGATAATTTATACTTGGTTTCAGTATGGTCAGCTTCAAGCTAGATGGAGGGAGGATCAAAAAATTGGGGTTATGCAAAATGAGGAAAATTTGGTGAAACAGATTAGAGATCAAAGTCAGATGCATATTAAAAGGTTGTATAATGCATTACTGGAAATAGACTCAGAAACAGAATTGGTTAAGGATTGTATGATAAAATGGGCACAAAACTTTCAGGAACCAGTGATGATGGAAACGGTGGGAAAAGATTTGGGTCAGAAATGTTAAATTTACGCAAGCACAAAATTTGAGAGAATTTTTATAAAATGTTTTATAGATGGCACTTAGATCCTAAAAAATTATCATGTATGTACTCGAACTTGCAAGCTAAATGTTGGAGATGTGAATGTAATGATGCAACCTATTATCATATATGGTGGACCTGTAAGAAAATCAAGGCATTTCGGATAAAAATTTGTTTCTATTGGGTATAATTACGGACTGTACAGTTTCAGAGACCAAATTGATTTTGAACTTAATATCGGCAGCTAGGCTGCTGGTAGCTCAATATTGGAAGAAGGACTCTTTGCCTACTATTGAAGAGTGGATATTGAAAGTAACAAACCTAGCAGAAATGGCAAAAATCTCGGTGTATTTGAAGGACCACACACAAGAAAGATATGTATCGGAATGGAGAAGATGGATTGATTATATCCAAAATAAGTATCAGACAAGAAAATATTAAATAGCTTATGAATGAATGTTAGTATTAGAAGTATTTGGTTATCTGTAGTGGAGTTAAGGTTTCAGTGGGGGAGGCAGTACTTTGAGGATAAGTAGATTAATCTAGTTTCTGTTTGATTAAATGAAATACCTTGTATTTTGCTCTGGGAAGTCGGGGGGGAGGGTGGGATGAAGGGGGGCAAGGGGGGGAACATGGGGGGGGGATTTTTTTGTATTTCTTTTTTGTAAAACTTTTCAATAAAAAAAAAAGAAGAAGAAGCCATCGCTGGTCTCCACCTGATTGGATAATTTCTGACCTGTCTCCAATCTTCCCTTTTTGGGGAAAGTGGTTGAGAAGGTGATTGCGTGGCAGCTCCAGAGGTTTCTGGATGAAACAGATTATCTTAACCCCTACCAATCAGGATTCAGGCCTGGATTTGGGACAGAAATGGCATTGGTCGCACTTTTGGATGATGTCTGGCAGGAGTGGGATGGGGGTAGTGCATCCATCCTTGCTCTACTTGCCATCTCAGCTTTTGGCGGTATTCTCCTGGGGCGGCTTCAGGGGATGGGAGTGGGAGGCCTTGTGCTATCCTGGTTCACTTCCTTCCTCTGTGGCTGCTCTCAATCAGTGTTGATAGGAGGGGAGAGATCCACCGCTTGCCCACTGCTTTATGGGGTTCCAGAGGGCTTGGTACTCTCCACTCCTGTTCTACATTTATATGAAGCCGCTGGGCGAGATCATCTGTCACCATGGATTGAGGTATCACCAATATGCTTATGATACTCAGTCTTGGCCTGTGGTGAGTTAAGTGATGCCGTGTCCTCCCTCTCGCAGTGGCTAAAGGCCTAGAGGCTGTTAGGGGCTGGATGGGGAGCAACAGGTTGAAGCTAAACCCTTGCAAGACCGAGTGGCTCTGGATTTGGGGTTCGTTGGCTCAGGGAGAATTACCACCTTTGGTCTTGGATGGGGTGGCACTACCCCAAATAGATCCTGTGTGTAATCTAGGGGTTTTCCTGGACTCACGACTCCTGCTCAAAGAGCAGGTGGCGGTCGTGGCCAGGAGGTCCTTTGTGCAACTGCAGGTTGTGCGCCAGTTATGCCCTTTCCTGGACCAACAGTCCCTACTCACACTCATGCCCTAGTCACTTCTTTTCTTGTCTTGACTATTGCAACACAAGAGCATCCGGAAGCTCCAGTTGGTGCAAAATGCAGCAGACCGTATGGTTTTGTGCAGTCCCCGGTGTGCATATGTATCACCTCTCCTGCAGGACCTGCATTGATTGCCGATTTGCTTCTGGGTGCAATTCAAGGTGCTGGTTGTCACCTTTAAAGCCCTTCATGGCTTGGGACCAGGTTATCTGAGGGATCTTCTCTTGCTGGCTACACCTACCTGACTCATCAGAGCGGGGAGGCAGGGAATGTTGCGGGTCCCATCCCCGAGGGAGATATACCTGGTGGGACCCAGAAGAAGGGCCTTCTCCGTGGTGGCTCCCTCTCTCTCTGGAACATCATTCCCCAGAGATTAGAATGCCCCCCCCCCCATACTCTTCCGGAAGGCGCTGAAGACCTGGTTCTGCCAGTGGGCCTGGGGAACCCAGAGCAGGATGGAGCCCATTAAATGGCTCATTTGATCTGCTGTCGCCGGGGCAGGGGGTGGGAGATGATATATAGTACTATATATACTACACAGTCTCCCTGGTTGCTGCCCATTTCCTTGTGGCCTCATCAGCCATTTTCTCTCTTGCTGATCCCAGGTTATTCTCAAGGACCTTGAAGTTTTGGCAGAGATTGCCTCCTCCCCAGCTGGCCAGATGGAAGACCGAGGGCTGCAGGAGGGCCCTGGGCTCCGGTTGGAGCAACTGGACCTGCCTGTGCACACTTCGGCCAAAAGTAGCCAAGCTGTCTCCTCCTCTGGTAAGTGCTTCATCTCCAGCCGCTACCTGGCAAAGGGAGCAGATTCTGAGCAGCCCTAGTCTTTGGCTTCTCATTCCAAAGGAGGCCATGAATAGATAGAAGTTGCCTCTCATGATGGTGGAGGAGCAAGTCCTTCTGCCCCGTCTGCTTCAGACGTAAGATTCTCCTGGCTGGTTTTGCTGCTGCTGTCTTGGGGGTTGAGGGAATTGGGCAAGGTCTTTCCATTGTTAGGCTGCCTTGTGATGCTTGTAAGAACAGAAGTTTTTTGTGCCAATGGTATTGTAATGGAATCAAAATCTTGGCTTTCTTCACCTCATCTTGATCTTTAAAGCCATTTTCTTGGTCTTGTTCCTGCACGCTAAACCTGAGCTGGACAAAATGAATGAGTGGTCTCTGTAAAAAGTAGCTGAGAGCAGTGGTCAGATTCAAATAATTTAACAACCGATTCTCTGCCCTAATGACTAGCTGGGTAGGCATGGCTGGGTTGGTCATGTTACTGGGTGGGCATGGCCAACTCGACGTCAATCATGTTGAGGGGCGTTTTGCCTTGCCTGGCCTCTCGTGACCCTGGGGATGCTGCAACGGTCATAAGTGTGAAAAATGGTCATAAGTCACTTTTTTCAGTGTCATTGTAACTTTGAATGGTCACTAAATGAACTGTTGTAAGTCAAGGATTAATTGTACAAAAATACAGAAATCTGCTTTGCTTGCAAAAAGCTGCCCTAAATACCAATCATTAGAAATGGTGGAATACACACTGAAGATCAATGACAATCACAGCAATCATGGAAACCTAAACCATTCTGTCAGAATACTTTCCTTTTCATCAGCAATACCTGCAACCGGGAGTTACAAGTCAGGCAGGGTGCCAGAGCACCTTGAGGAATTAAAATAGTTAAAATGCAACAATAACTATCAACAGCCAACTCTTGCTCATAAAGTGAAACCCTTTAGCAGAGAGGTCATCTAAGCTATCCAGAAAGTGGTGGGCACACTTGGGCTACAAAATGCCAAGCTAAAGAGACAAATTAACAGGGGACCCAGGTTCAAGCCTCCCAAGCTTGTCAGAATCACAATAAAATTAGAACATGCCACAGATATCTAAATAAACTTCAAGCCTGGTGCCATGTCACTAAGCCTTATTATCATGAGAGAAAACTACAATGAATCGGAAAGAGCATCCACATCCCTACCTCCTTTTTTAAAAAATCTTACTATCAGTGAGCAATCATGTGCCTTGCAATGAAAAAGACTCCTGTCCCAAAGGTAATTTTTCAAGAGGCAACTGGACTTTCTGGAAACCAAGAAACCAAGGAGCCTGGATAGATTAAAGCACTGTAATTTAACACCAGCTGTCTGCAATTAAAATAAGTTCAAATCTCACCAGACTCAGCCTTCCATCCTTTCTAAGGTAGGTAAATTGAGGACCCAGTTTGTGGGGGCAATAAGCTGACTTTGTATAAAATATACAAAAGTATGAAGGCTATTGCTTAACACACTGTAAGATGCCCTGAGTCTCCGGAGAAGGGCGGCATATAAATCAAATAAAAAAAAAGAAAGAAAGTCCAGTTGCCTCTTGAAAAAAGCACCTTTGGGACAACCATGGCCTGGATGACTGAAGAATCCCCATAGACGAGAGACTACTGTGTTCAGTGAACTGACAAAACACCCTTTCCCATCCAGAAGAAGCAATCGTTAGATCCATTTGCACCGCTTAAAGATACCAGCTGGTCTCACTCACCTCACAAAATATCCTAAGGAAATCATCCAGATTTAAGGAATCAGACAGTGCCAAGCTTCCATCCTGCCTTGTGGTGCACCCCAAAAGGACAGTGCCAGGAACCACTAAAGCAGTGTAAAAAGCTTTAAAAAAAGTCAAGCTCCTAATAAAAGTATCAGCCGAGGGAAAAAAAACTCCAGAGAAGTGGCTCCGGCTAGTCTAGGCATACTGCCAAGAACCATTAACTGCTGTTACAATGTAACGAGGCTTAACCCAAAGGCAGTTTCTGAAAACACTTAAGCACAGCAATAAAGATAAGGATTAGGATAGAAACAATGCAGAAAGGTACACCAGAATGTTTCCTTCCTGCCTTCCTGACAGGATTAGCCCTGTAGAGTGGGAAAAACAAAAGGCTGTTGGAAGGAGATTTTCGTTGAACTGCTCAGAAAGTTAACAAATGTTTCTCGTGAACCAGTGCAAACCGGCTGAATCCCAACATTGGCTGAGGAGTGCCAGGGGGTGGGGGTGCTGCAAGGCTGTTGGCTCTGTGAAGACTGCCCCATTGTGGGAGCAGAGAGCCATGGGGCTGGGAGGGCCGCTGAGGCTGTCTTGCCCTTGCACGGAAGAGGCGGTGATTGGTCTGGAAGTCTCAATTGCGTTGACCATTGCAGGGGGGGCCTTGGAATCAGGGTGGGTGGAAGATGACCAGCCTAATGATCCAATAAAACAGGTTTTTACAAAATATTGTCATTTCACCAGGAGCCCTTTCCTCCCTGAGGATCTGAGTGAACTCTAATTCCTGTTTTGAAGCACAAGTCTGCTGAGATTATTCTCTGGCACCAGGCAATTCTGCTCCATTGTTCAACATAAACCATGCCTGGCTCTTGCGGGTGACTTTGCTGGAGATTTTCTCAGTTCATTCTTGAATTCATGGCCTTCCGTATATCTAGGTTGGAAAGGATATTTCTCCACGTTTGAGTGCATCTTCCAGGCCTCGTTCTTGTCTTTTCCAACCATTAATGCTTGCGAAGAAGCATTAGATGAAATGAAGCAAGCCTTTCAATCTACCCATAGACAATTCAGCCTATAGAAATGTTGGCAATAGGGAGAATTTCTTGGATGAAATCCTCACCAGGTGAAGAACAACCTGGTTTGGAAGCCTGTGATGGAAAATTAGAGACATCTAGAATGAGACGTACCTCTGGGGAAACCTTTCAGATTCAGATCAAAGGGAGGTGGGCCTTTCCTTAAATGGAGCTGAAAGGGCCATTTGAAGGTAAGGGGGCAGATTCTTTGGGGAGACAATCTGGTGATGGATTTTTGGAGGTTAGTGCTGAGCAACTAAACAAGATTTTCATCTTCCCAGGAGAATTCCATTGTCAATTTCTCATGGAACTGTTAGACATTCAGATGAGCTATTGAAAATATGTTTCCGGTTGGCGCCACCGTCGTCGCTAGACGGTCCCTTCAAGACCGCCAGCCCCGCCACCCGTAAAGAGCCGCCTCTACAGCTGAGAGGCGGCTTGAAAAACTCCACGATCCTGAGGAATCGGGAGGAGAGCCGGCGAGACAAGGTAGAGCCCCCTGCGAAGTCCCCAGACTGTCTTTTTTTGCTTCTGGGGAAGAAGCAGGGTGAGGCTCCCTATCCAGCTCGCCGAGGCTCCGGACTCCGGGGACAACTCTGCATTCAGCAGAGCCAGACGACGCGACCAACGTAACTAGCGAAAGCCAAGAGAATTACCAAAAATAAACAGGGTGGAATCTGGACTTGAAATTCAAACTGCAAGTATTTTTATTAGCCCTGTGAATGAATTTTAAGAACTGAGTGCCTGAGTGCCTGAGTGCCTGAGTGTTCTAACAAGTTACAAAGTATCTAAAGCACAGCGCTGGCTAGAAGAGAAGGGAAAAGTTCTTTTTAAAGTGACTCTGATCTGTTTCTTCTCCTATAGAGATTTGATTAAAGCTGGGGAAATTTTTGAGAGGACTTTGTGGTCAAAAGGGAGGGAAGACTTCCTTCTTAGAAAGAATTAGATTGCGTGGCAGTATGGCTTCAAAGCAAACAAAGCCAGCCGCTAAAGCTGCAGGGGGGGGTTTCTCCCATCCCCAAGTCACAAGAGCAGCTATTAAATTTGCAGACTCAGAGCCAAGCACAGGAGACTGGTTTTAAAGATTTGAAGGAATTTATTGCTGCGGCTCTGTTGAATCAAAATGAAGTTTTGGACCAGAAATTTGAAAAATCTCAACAGGAAATTAAGGAGGTGGTTCAAGAAAAGTATGACAAGATGAAGCGTGATATACTGACAGTTGTGACTGGTCTGTCAGAAGCAGTTGTCCAGATTGATAAAAAAGTGGAAGAACTTAGTTCAGAAGTAGAATCTAAAATGAAGGAAGCTGATTATAAAATTTAATGTTGATAATAAAACGCAAAGGATTGAAAATGAAGTGACAATGATGCAATTTAGATTCATGGAGTTTGCTGTAAGACTGAGAGGAATAAAAGAGAACAATAGAGAGGATCTGAGAAGGGTTTGTGCTGATGCCCTGGCTGTGATGTTAAAGGTTGACCCTGAGGAGATTTTGTGCAAGATTGATAAGGTCTATAGAGTGAATTCTTGGGTGGCAAGGCAAAAGCAATTACCTAGAGATGTGGTGATCTACTTTACAGATAGAAAAATAAGAAATGATACCTTACAAAAGTCTTTTGTTTCTACTATTCAAGTGGATGGAAGAGAGATTGGGATTTACAAAGAGTTGCCACCTAAGATACTAAGAGATAGAAAGGATTTTGGATTTTTGGTGATTGAACTAAAGAAACAACAAATTCCATTCAGATGGGATGCTCCAGTTGGCATAATATTGAGGTATCAAGGAGAGAGATATCGATTAAATACTGTTGAAAAAGCGGAAGAATTTATTTCAATGTTTTCAAAACTGGTGCAGCATCTCCAGTGTTAGGTATAATGGAGGGTGAGAAAGGGAAGCAATTTGAACAAGAGCTCAAAGAGCAGCGGAAACAAATGGAGGTGGAGGTAATGGAAACTCAAGGAGCAACAGGGGGCCTTTTAGATGAACTGTTGCTGGATCTTCCTCTAGAGGCTATAGGTGGACCACCTAAAAATACAAGAGAAGTGACAGCGGATCTCGACCTGATGTTGCACAATGCTAAAGACCAGCGTATAACTCGAGCAGCTTATAAACAAATTATAGAGAAACAACAATAACAGAGATCTAAGTTATCGCAAGATAAGAAGGGAGTCAATGGTAAAGCACAAAAATCCGA